ATTCATTTTATCATATGTGTACGTGTTTGGCTCAAAAAGTTCAATTTAAGAAATGCATGTATCATGGTCGTGAAGTAGTCACGAAAAATTGCCAAGATTCAGTTCAAGATTATGGAAAATGCGGAACGATAATCAATAATCGAAGATAGCCATTTGATTGATCATGGTATTGGCAGTCTAATGGCGTTTACGGCATGTCTGTATGTCTATTCTGTGATTTTATATGATTTTTTGAACATATGCCGTTTTTGGTCGAAAACTCAGAAATCATGACGTCACTAAAACCTCGATATCTCAAAAATTTTCCAACCGATTTTTTTGAAACTTTGTCACAATAAACTTCAATCAATTCCCTACAGGTACCCAAAATTTGGCGCGCCTGCGGCGCGCCGTTTTTATGCTATGGCCCGGCGAAAAAAGTGGGGGCGTTTAACGCCCCCCCCCCCCAGCAACTCGCGGGTTAAAGGAAGACTGCCACCTTCAAAAAGTTTTCTCAGATCGGCCTATGATTTATTCCCTGGACAAAACAAAATTTTATAATTCACCTGACAAAGTATCATCACGTGAATCGCGAAAAAAATTGTCGATTATCATACAATTATCAATCGGTTAATGTCTAGCGACAATGTTTACACATCACTAGACTTCAAGGTCATAAGATTACCTATTACATTTTATTTGAAAAAGTAAGGTATTTTATGATTTACTAATATATGATTTCATAAGAAATTGGCCATGTTTAATTTATTTTGCATTTAAGTTCGTAAAACATTTTAAAAATCATGGCTCATTTGGAATGGGTCTGGCCCATGTTAAATCCCATTTCCCACACATTTTTGGAAAAAAATGAACTACTGAATATATAAGTTTAACTTTTATTTTGACACTCCAAAATTCTTCTCTGATCTCGAAACAATCAAAGTTTTGACATATATTTACCAAAAGATAAGAAAATTCATGTTTCAAAGTTATCGATAAACAGTAGAGATGTCGGTTTTCTTGGACTAAAAAAATGGCATCAAACTGAACTTTGGTCTCCGATTTCTCGCAAACGGGTTCGAATTTCGGAAAACCGACTTCAGTCTGGGACATAGGTGGCTCAGCTCTAGTGAAAACCGTTTTGTGGAAAAAAGGTGGCAGTCTACCTTTAAGGTCAGGACTGTGAAGACTGAGGAGCCCACTGCTTTTCGCTTCCCTTGGAGATCACGCGGCAACCGAAGAGCTCTTGGAGCAGCTGCAGTGTCTCTCGGGCCGTGTGCGGTGGCGCTACATCTTGCATGAACAAAGCTTGTAGCGTGATCACCAAGGGAACTGGGAAGCGATGAGCAGTGGGCTCCTCACAGTCCTGACCTCAACCCGCTGGACTACTGGTTTTGGGGAGCCTGCAAGGACAGCGACAGCGTCTACAACAAGCCCGGCAGCCTGGAGGAGCTGCGTGTCAGCGTCGAGCAGTACGTGCGTGAAGTGACAGCAGGCACCGCGGAGAGGGTGCAGAGCGCCAGTTTCCTAGAGCGTGTTCAGACGTGCCTTGAGCGTTGAGGTGTCCACTTCGAGCACATGGGCAAACATAAAAGACGCACATATCCCATTTTTGAAATGGCGATGGCAACATCAGTTCAACTAAAACTTTTTCATAAAATGGGTATCATATAATTTGTCAAACGATTTTCTTTAAGCTGTGAAAGTTTCTTTTTCGTATCTCTTACCACTTTCGAGAAATAGCTGCTGAAAAGTGACACACTTTTTTTGGCCCACCCTGTACATGTGGTCAAGGTTGCGGAGCTTAAGAAGGTTGAAAGTGTCGCTCACGACTTTATGTGCTCGTGCAATGTACTTGTGAGTCACATTGCACAATGCACACTGCAGAATGTGTGCACAGTAGATGCACACTCTGCAGGGATTCCGTGGACTGTTGCACAAAGCGTCGCGCTGATGCAGTCTTGCGTTTGGTTTGTGATGGTCAACAGTTCGCGATCGCCTCAGGGGTTATACGACCTTCGTTTGGACCTCGTGACGTCTGGAGTGTATTGTCCTTGCTACAATGAGTCAGCGGTGGGGGCTGTGACTCGAAGAATCTTGTGCCCGGTCGGCGTATGACAATACGGGGGTCTCTTGTCATCAAAGTCAACACTCTGGGAAGTGGCGAGAATGATAAAGAGATTTACGCTGCTGAAAGGGCTGTGGCGAGTGAAGTGTTCTAGCCTATTAGCCTCCTGTTTTGGGCTTGGTTTTGTTTCAACGCATTTGTCTTCACGGTTATGCTTCATACATGTAGCATTTAGCAATCACTGCATTATGCATGTAACTGCCAACCAAAAGTTTATTTTCTAATGACATTGCTTCACTCACAGCAACATGTTGACTCAGTGAGCAATGAGCATACACCCTCAATAATAGTTTTCAGCCTTTATCGCCACACTCGCGAGCAGCAAACCACACAAACAACACCGTTCTCCTCCCCTGAGACTAACTGTGCGCACAGATACCAACTCCTCCCCGCCCTCATTCCTCAACGGTAACACGCAGAACCTATTTCCAGCGCACGGTTCCGCCCGCTCCCAACCCAGTTTTCCGTGCATTCTTCCCACGAGCAGGTGCTCTCGTAACATCTGATAGCTCGAGGATGAGTCGCCGTGGTGAGTTGTAAAACTGTGTCGGAGAGGGGAGGACGAAGATCGTTTTAGGAGTCGGAAGTTGTCGATTGTCGGATGTTGCGCAAACCGGAAGGCGTTTGAACGGTGGGATGTGTTGGCTTGGTGGAGGGAACATTTAGGCTGGGTGAATCGGGAACGACTGTTGTGGATTAAGAGGAAGAAAATTGTTATGGTTGCTAAATCAGTCGCCTTTCCAGGATGTGAAGCAACACTCAACCATTGAATGACCTGACTAAGGAAAACGGAAATATGAAGCCAAGTGGTGAGCGGTCCGTCACCCATTGTTGTTGAGAAATAAATAGAGCGAATTCAATATCTGAACGTACTGAACGTATGTGTTGCATCGCGCTTTGGGCTCCATCGTGATATTATGCTGGCAGTCCTGAGCCGATCCCAGTCCATTTCGCAAACAATTCTCAAGGGACTTTTCCCACGCCTCAGTGGTGTCGAGAAGCCCACAGCCTTTACTGTCGTCATCAGCCCCGGTACGGTCGCCTGGCAGAGGCGACATGACAGGGCAGCGGAGAGTTATTTACGGCGCTGGGCACAGACTGGTGGTTGGACCCGACCAACCTGAGCCGCAGCCACCTGAGGCTAGCGACGATCAGCGGTCGCCGCCGCCGCCGCCGCTCGCCGCCGCCACTCGCCACAGCCGCCACCGCCGCCGCCGCCGCCGCCAGCGGAGCGATTTTGGGCTGCATCCGTCATCGGTTGCTATTTACACACCTGTGGCACGTGGCCCGGCTCGGCGGAGGGCACGTGGCGCCACGTGGCGTTGGTTTAGGTGTTCGTAGGGTGGGAGGGGAGGGGTGTTGGCTGGCAGACGCGCTAATGGAGGCGCCAGGCGTTCGGGGAAGCTGGCTCTGCGAAATGAGGCCGGGATAGAACAGTGCGAGGGAATTTAACCATCGCGTGCCTTACGATCCTATGATACGATTAAATGCATTTCTTCGCGCAATATCATAGTGCGGAAGTGAAACCAAACAGCCCTAAGGGATTCCTTGATTTTGTGAGGCATAGTGTCTACGGAACGATCTCTGGTTTCTCATCTTGCTCGCAGTGCTCCATCGCACATACCTACATCAGTGCGCTGTTTTTACTTTTTGCAGTCCTTTCCTCTGTGTCCCACTTTCAACCCACCCGGTCCGTCTCCCCGCCCCCTCTGCCCCCGGCTGTGACGTATGTGACGCCCGTGACGCCTGTGTGACGCTGTGACGGATGGAGCTGTTATCGGTTGTGACGTGGGGGCGGGAGGGGTCAGGCCCGTACCGCCAGTCACAAATACAGACGCCCGATACAGGTGGTGTGTGTTTGGGAGGGGGAGAGGGTGATAGGGTGGTTTGGGACGGACTGGGTACGTAGTGGCAGATGCATTTATGCCATATGCTAAGCCATGACTAGCTTCGCGGTTGAAAGTCGCCAGTTGGTCAAACATGATCAATTCGCCTTCTTGAGTGTATGATGATAAGCCTTCCTGAGCAAAGGTAGCATTGGTTTGGACTGCAGTAGTAAGATAAACATTCGATGATAAGAGCCCAAAGATAACCATCCTTTTGTCCTCTGACCAGTGACCAGAGGACAAAAGGACGCTCGCAAAATCCCAAGTTTATATAGGTTAAATAGCACGCAATACGCATCCCTGCCGAGATGTGGCCAACTGCGCAGATGCCGAGTTACTCTGTTGCATAGATAAATGACCGGTGGTTGTTGTTATCTCGTACTTGAAAGGTCACAGATGTCCTTGTAGAACCAAAACAAGAAGCGGGTGGGACGATAGCCATCTGAGAGAAGCTGTCCACCTGCTGTGGGGCTCACTGTGTTGAGAGCCCTCCTCGCTCACTCCCCCTCTCTCCTCTCGGCGTTTCTTTTCTCACAGCCCACCCTCCCAGTCCATCTCTGGCCTTTCCTATTGCTATATGCTTTGCAAGAGAAGTGGCAGCCCTAATCTCTAACATCCTCCGTCAGAAAAGATCCTCTCCCCTAGACACTCCCCTCTCTCTCTCTCTCTCTCTCTCTCTCTCTCTCTCTCTCTCTCTCTCTCTCTCTCTCTCTATCTCTCTCTATCTCTCTCTCTCTCTCTCTCTCTCTCTCTCTCTCTCTCTCTCTCTCTCTCTCTCTCTCTCTCTCTCTCTCTCTCTCTCTCTCTCTCTCTCTCTCTCTCTCTCTCTCTCGCTCTCGCTCTCGCTAGGAGAAGTCGGAACACCTGCAGTTATGACCTCTCTCAGTCCCTTCTGTCTTTCTCACGATAAGTTGAAATCCACACCTCTAACCCCTCCCCTCTCTTTCTCACAGGAGAAGTTGAAGTACCTGCATCTCTAACCTCTCCCCTCTCTTTCTCCGTTACAGGAGAAGCTGGAGCACCTGCAGGTGGAGGCGCACCACGAGATCTCGGACCTGCAGACCGGTCTCTCGGAGGTCACCTCCATCAAGGACAAGCTCTCCAAGTACATCCGAGAACTCGAACAAGAGAATGATGACCTCGAGAGGGTCAAAAGGTCAGTCGGAAGGTCATGGGTCGGCTGGTCGGAGGGGTGGAAGGGGTTCGTATGGAGGAAATTGCATGAAATTACTGATGAGAACTTTTGCAGGGCTTTTAGTTGGGGCGTAACTTGTTGTTTAGATTCGATAATTCGCCTCCGTAGTAGTTGTGGTAAAATATTCTTGTGCTTTGCTCTATGTGGTTAATCTTTCAAGTTTTAGTCATTTGGTGGCCAAAACCGTTATCGTCTCTCCTGCTTTTAACCCTCGTACAAATGATTTGCAAAAATGACGGCTTTTTTATAATGATAGAATTAGCGTCTGTGGATACTGAGCTGTCAGCTATGTGGACGCTAACCCAACACTGATCAATGGCCTTGCGATAGGTCAATCGCCAATCAGGGGTTATCACGTCCCATGACGTCATGTAATGCAATATCAGGACCATCGATAGTGCCACAACATTTCGCGAGGTTTTACTGCCATGTATCAAGCCAATATAGGAAGATTGAAGGTCAACATAGATCGATGTAACGTGGACGGAATTGACGTCACCTTTACGCCACATGACGTCACTAATGTGTCTTTGTTTATGACGTCACAGGACCATGGTGGTATCGCTGGAGGACTTTGAGGGCCGACTGAACCAGGCGCTGGAGAGGAACGCCTTCCTCGAGTCCGAGCTGGATGAGAAGGAGACGCTGAGGGAGATGGTGCAGCGACTCAAAGACGAGTCCAGAGGTCAGTCGGGTCGAGAGGTCAGAGTCCAGAGGTCAGTGAGGTCATTTAGACGTCACTGAGGCCTCACAGAGGTCAGTGAGGCCACAGAGGTCAGTTAGAGGCTGCATAATAGCCGAAAAGTGGCCGTGCTATACTGCAACAAACGTGAAGTCTTTATTTATCGTTAATCGTTTATTTGTCGGTCAGTCAGTTGGGTACAGGGATCGCAATTCATATGTGGTCGAGAGGAAGTGTAGCGACTCAGGAACTTTGATCCTCCTTTCAGTACCTAGCCCCACACCTGACCTCCCCCGTAAGTCGTACTCGTGACCTGACCTGACTTGTTATGTCTCGTGACCTCGCGTTCCCCAGGTCTCCGTCAGGCACTGTTGAGTGTTGACCTCTCCTCACCTGACATAACCTCTGACTCTGCAACCTCCATCGGGCACTGCTGACCCTCTTTTATCTTTTCATGATCTGACCTCTGAGTTGCGACATCCGCTCCTTCGGACCACTGTTGAGGGCTTTGACCTCCCCTTACCAAACCTTACCCCTTTCCTGACTCGTCTGTCGTGACCTAACCTGACCTGACCCACGACCCCGCCCCTCAGATCTCCGTCAAGAGCTAGTGATCCGCGAGCGTCACGAAGCCGACGACCAGGAGCCCGACAACGAGCGGTCAGCAGTGGACAGCAACAAGCGGCTGGAGGACGGGCCGGACGGTGGGGTGCGGCCGGTGGCGCCGCCTGTGGCGCCCACAGCCACACCGGCCGCCCTCACTGCCAACACCACCGCTAAAGGTGAGGGAGGGAGGGGGAGGGGGGAGTGGGTGAGTGACTGGGTGGGTAAGGGAGAGTGGGGAAGAAAGAGAGAGGGGTGGAGGAGAGATGGGTGGGATACGTGTGGCGATGACTCTATTGAGGAATGATAAGCATCTTTCGAATGGAGAACCCAAATGTTCAAGGTATTCACTACTGTGTGCTACGCAGCAGGCTAGCTTTTTTATGTGCTTCTTTTTCATCGTCGTGTCGTTGAAAGTGGCACCACACAGGTGTTGAGTATAGTGTGGATACCGACGACGGTGTCGTTAAGGATCAATTAAGTATATCATTTTTGTTTATCCAATAAAGTTGTGTTATTGACCAGCAATTTAAATATAAGTGAGAATGCGTCAAAAGGTTATCCCACTCCCATATTGTTAGGCCGTCAATTGTCAAGCCCCTCATATTTTACCCATATAGTCAGTAGTCACGTGACTGTTTTCCCATCCTTCCACAGTGCCACCGGCGGTGGGCGAGCAGCCGGCCACCAACGGTCACGTGGTCGCTCCCTTGGACGGCGGTCCCATGACGCCTTCGTCACGGATTTCGGCGCTCAACATTGTCGGCGACCTCCTGCGTAAAGTCGGGGTAAGTCCGCGATTGGTATACGGCACGATTGTGGCCGTCCTCTAAATGGTACATTCGTTGTAGTAGTGATGCTGGTTTTTTATTATTGTGCTTTTCAAATTATCTGCGCGTTCACTCAGCTTAGCTAACTGAGCTACCGTAGTAGTTTTTGTTTGGTGTTTGGAAGCACTGCACATTAGTTTCACGGGTTCTGGTGTATTATACCCGCACACTAGATGTTGTTGTGTTTAGTTTGCACGTCGCACCGCAATTGGTGGACAGGTTACACTTGTTCGGCGTTTTTTTTTTTTTTTGCGCTGTCTGTTAGCGAGAGAGGCTCGTGTTTGTGTCCTATAATTAGAATGCCCTTTCCTTCCGACCGTGCCTGATCGAATCCTTAATCCGTAATGTACTTCCTTATTACTAAGCTGTATATAAGTGCAAGCCTAGTCATTTCCCTACTGCAAGTTTTTCTTCTTTTGAAACTTTTTTCCAGTTTTTGTATACGGCGTTTAATTATAAATCGTGTTTATGAACCCCTTTCACATTTTGTTTTGCGGTGCTTCTTTTACTTTCGTAGTTTTGCCTCGGTATTTAGGATCCTTGACTGCTTTTCTTCTGTTCTCTGTCTCTTCTTTCTTCTTTATTGCATTTTCTTTTTTCTTTTTTTATTCTTCTTTCCACTGGGGCACAAAACGTTCGGTTTACAGCACTGCTGTTTCATTGCTATTATGAACCTGTCTTTTTGTTGGACCCTCGCTAACTTACCTTCGGGATGTCCCATCCTTTCTCCAGTCCTGCCCATTTCCATCAAATACCATCCCTCACCTATCACCCAGTTTTGGATCTGAGCTCGTCGCATGGCCGGTCGCTTTGATCGACTAGGTCTCCGCAGTGTGATCCTTGTTGTGTTGAGCGCAGTTCCCAGTATAGGCGGGATGCCGGCTGCACTGATGGGCTGTGCTTTCACTTCCTTTTTTCTTTCTTATTGCCTTTTGGACTTCAACTCTTTTTGCTAGATTTTGGACTTGCTGGCACTGATCGAAGTGCATTTTCCGCGTTCCTCTTCTGCGCCGATATTCTTCAGGGAGTGTCATGTTTCCATGCCCCACGTTAACTCTTCTAGGCGGTCTTCATCCTTTCCTAAATCTTGGTCCACACCTCTCTCCCTCCTCCCTATGCGCCCCAGTGTCTCCGTTCCCCGGCCGGCTAGCTCTGACCTCTCCCCGTGTGTCTGTGCGCCATCCTCCGTTCTAGTTGGACCGCTACATGTGTAAGGCGTGCGGCAAATTCCGCTGTGCGTGTATACCGGCCCAGTAGTGGGTCCCGCGCGGCCCGCTCTTCTCAGGTCTCAGGCTGTGATCAGGTCAGAGCGAGCGGCGCCAACGCGAGCCGCCGAGCCTCACTAACGCCGCCCTGGTGGCCTGGTCTGGAACTAACGCACGCGTGTGGCTGTGCTTCCAGCTGGTTGGGATTTGATTCGGAGCCTCGCCTGGCGTGGGGTGGATACTGGATAGGATATTTACAGTCATAGGCCTCCTTCAGTTCGTGTGTGACTAGTCTCATGGCTAAAACGGTGATCCTGGTACTGACAGATCCGATCTTGTTCTTTCATAGAGTATCCTGGTTCTGCCCTGAGTCCTTTCTGAGGTAGTTTTCCATCTGTTTTTCCCTTCAGTCTTAACAGTGATTTCTGAGCTGGCTGTCACTTGTTGGTCTAGTTCTTCTCTGTCCTGTGCGATCCTGCCCTGTCGCTTCCCGTCTCATCCCGTCTTATCCTATCCCATCCTCGTCTAAAACACGTTCCCTTCCTACGCTATCCTACGCGCTAAAATTTAATGTATCCTTATCGAACACCTCCTTTCCATATTGTGGGCGCCGATGACCATGACTGTAGTCCGGGAGCCCAAAAACCCCAATTTATCATCATCATCATCATCATCATGATCCTTTCCAGCTCGGTTGACTCCTTCCCTCCTTCTACCATACTAATCTCATCCAACTTCAGATCACGTCTAGCTGGCCAGCAATTCTGCTGCTGTGAATCGCGTGAAGTCGTGACTAACCTAGTCATTCTTCAATAGAGGGGTCGTGAAGAAAGCATAGCGCGCTTGGTGGCTTTGCTTTGTTTGCCGTGACCATTGTCTGTCTTGCTGGCTTGCTTGTGGGCTTTATTTCATTGTTTCTGTCTCTTTCTGTGCTTTTCTTTTTTCTTTTGCCCGTGTTTCTGTTGATTTCTGTTTCGCGCTGACTTGCTTCTTACATAGATGACTGGTTCTGATACGTGCGTCACATTCTCGAGTGTTTCAGGCTGTCCTCTGATAGCTTTTCAGCTGATTAAGTTGGTCCGCTCATACTAACCTACGGAGATCTTTGCAGGATCTTTCGCGTGTGTTGTTTTTACGACATTAATATCCTACATTGAATTGATGTATGCTGATTTCAATAATTCAGGTTAGGTAGAATTCTAGAGAAATTATTGTGTTCAATGCCGTTTCCAAATACTTAGATGCAATCTCACGGTAGATCATACCACGACGTTATTCACTTCTTGCTTTATCTTCGATATGGATATCCTAGTTTTTAACATCTTTTGCTGGCATTGTGTCCGAGACACCCTGAGCCCTGACTTGTTGGAGAAACGAGTGTATGTTCTCATTTATGACAGTTTTCAACACCCTCCACGCTCTCGATTTTCCAAACTTTCACGTAAACTGACGATATGGTACCGATCTATGCGCTAAGCGTCCATCACTTCCCCTTGATTACCAAGGTATGCTTTTTTGTATGTGTGTGCGGCTGTATGTCTTACGACACTTCCCATTTCCTCAGGCGCTCGAGTCCAAGCTGGCCTCGTGCAAGTCGTACGTCAAGGACAACCCGCGGCCGCACGCGGGGCACGGACAGCAGGTCGGCCGTGACCTTCACAGGTCAGAGGCCGGGTCAGCGCAGGGGCGCACTCAGGGTGGGCGGAGTACAGGGTGTAACGAAATTATCCGGACATCTATTTTTTCGCCATATCTGCTCGCAAAGTTTCTTTTTTAATGTTAGGAGCTGGAAAATTGGATGAATGCATACCTCTGGTATCTGCTCTCAACTCAGCAGTGACCTGACCTTGCGAAATGACTCTTGTTCTGAGTAAAAGTCGAGTCGCCGACGGGTTCATTTGATAGTTTTCGTTTAAGGCAGTGGAGAGAAGGGAGTACAGTCTCTCGTTTCGTAGTAAGGCTACGTGTTGGTGGCATGGTGGCATGAGCCAGAAGCTGGTCTGTCAGCAGCTGGACATCAGCAGCAGCCAGTAGCACATCTGCCTCAGGCGTAATAAGCTGGGACTTGGTGGCAGACTCAGCCCGGCCTCGATCGCAGAAGGCGCCCTTTGCCAAGTGGTGAGGAGAGTTGTCAAGATAGCGACAAGGAAACGGCACCAATTAATCTGCAAACTGACTCGAATTCTTACCAAGGCAGATAATAAGAGGTCCCACATCATAACTCACCGTTACCCGCTCTTTAGCTTGGTTTTACTGCCCTTCAAACTGAAAAAGACAATGAAATTGACGGGAAAACAACCAGTCCACCACCTTTGGCCTCAGGCCAGGGCGTGACCACTGGTCGAAGGAAGACATGAATGAGATGGCCTGGTCGGATGGGAAGCTGTTCGAGCTGCGATGTCCGTTGAACCGTCAAATCGGTCATGTGTGGGCTGCCAGCAGCTCGAACATGCCGGCCGTCGCCGGCGTCAAGCATCCGGTCAAAATCCAGACCTGGAGCATGTTCAGCTGCTGTGCAATATTCAAGCTGTTCATGACGCCACAGAAAACCACATCAGTGACGAGTATTACCGGCGCAACATCCTGGCTAGCGATTGGTTGGAGCCACTCAACCAGACGGCGCAGGAGGGCTCTGTTTCTGAACGCGTACTGATACCTGATTCAAGCCGCGCAGTCTTCATGCGGGGCGGCGCACCACCTTCAAGTCCCCTAGCAGAATGAGAAGCGATGCCGAGAGGACCTATTTTTCTTCTGGGCTAACGGGCTATGGCTTGGAAATAGTTCCCATCCCAATTCCATCGATATCTTATGGACTATTGTCCATCAGGAGATGAATGAAGGGACACCCGCCACCAGCGCCGCCCAACTGTGGGCACAGGCTAGCAAGGCGCTGCTCTACATGAAACCCACTGTGCTGGAAAACCCAGTGGCTGGAATGCTCCAGAAATTTGTACCTGCGCTCTTATGAAAGGTGGCTATATTATAATTCAAAAGAGAAAATATCAGATTGTCTTGCTTCTTAATTACAGCGCGAAGAAAGATGTCCGGATAATTTCGTTACACCCTGTAGGGGAGCAGGGGCGCACTCAGGATGGGTGGAGAAGGGGAGCAGGGGCGCAGTCAGGGTGGGCGGGCTAGGGGAGCGTAGTCAGGGTGGGTGGACGAGGGGGAGCAGGGGCGTAGTCAGTGTGGGCGGAGAAGAGGAGCAGAGGCGTAGCCAGGGTGGGCGGGCAGGGGGAGCACAGGCACAGTCAGGGTGGGCAGACTGGGAGAGCAGGGGCGTAGTCAATGTGGGCGGAGAAAAGGAGCAGAGGCGTAGCCAGGGTTGGGCTAGGGGAGCAGAGGCGCACTCAGGTTGAGCGGAGAAGGGGAGCAGGGGCGCACTCAGGGCGACTAAGCTGGAATTAGGGACTCAATTGTAAATTTAAGCAGTTTTTTTATGCATATCAGGGGTACCGTTTATTTATTACGTCTTTTCCTCATCGTCATTCTGTGTTTTCGTACGTTTTATCGTGTTTCAGCTGGGTTAATGCTGGTGAATGGGGACTTTATCCTGGTTGTTTCCAAATCAATCCACACCGGAAAATTTGTTGTGATTACAGTTATATGTAAACCAGGACTGACACGAACGCTTCTCAGCTAGCTTGTTTCTGGTCTAGACTTATTTTGTCGACTCCATCTAGTAGATGCAGGATCATTTCTGATCGCCTTCCAATTATGTTAGCTGTCTTGATGATATAAAGTTTCAGGACATCATAGTTGGGAGGACTCACTCTTCTTGGTTCTCAGTAAGTTCCTTGCGCACACGGGCTTGGTAGATATAATGGATGATCAAGCTTTGTGGCTTATCGGCGATGATGATACGTTTCCTCGGGCTATTCTGCTTGTGTCGTCCCATATTGTGTCGTTCTTGGTGCTTTTTTGTAACAGCTGTTCGACGCCATGTATCACTGTGTGAGGTCATTAGCGTCACTCCATAACGTCATATTGTGTGGTCGTCGCAGGCTGCGCAGTCTGGGCTCGGAGTTTCGGTTCAGCTGACCTGTGTAGGCGGGGCCAGAGTCGACCGGCCTTTACTGGTCAGAGGCCGGGATAAAGGGAGACAGGGAATGAGAGAGATGTGTGCCGTGTGGTGTTGCTTTTCCGGTGTGATTGGACTCGGCCGAAGGGAAATGGGTTTTGTTTTGATTTTGGGTTTTGACTTTGATGTTTGTGTGGTTTGGGGTTTTTATTGGTTGGTTTTGATTTTGGGTGTTGAGGCCTTTATCGAATAGGAATCGGGTTTGGTTTCAGTGTGGTTTTGGTTTTTGAGTTCCGCGGCTGATGGTTCGAGGGTTCGATGGTTAAGGATGTTTCGCTTTGTAAAGTGTGTTCTTTGTACTTCACTTTCAGTGTTCAAACCACTACATTCTTTAGAGCTTACCTATACCCTTGTCTATCTACCATCATTCTACATGTATCACTTCTTTATATCTATCTACACGTTTACTGTCAATTTTTTTTAAGCGTGGAGATTTGCATGTTTACCGTGCATACAATGTAAGCGCAGTAAGTTGCTCGAAGTTTTAAGTGTTGCTGTCAGCGTGGGGACCTGTGGAGTGTGGATTTACAAATGTTTCACTGTCTCGGAATCCTAAGGTGTCTGTTTGTTTGCTGTATCTTTGGAGTGTGCTATGCGTGGCGCGTGTGCATTGAAGCCAATGGGTACATTTCCGGATGGTTATGGTTCTTTGGTGGAGGAGCAGCAACAATGTCATTGACCAATGATCCAGGAACTCGCTATATGTGCCCGTCGAGTGGAAATGTGGAAACGCTGTTATAATTCGTCTCATTGCCTTATTTTTCTGACTGTTGTCCTTTTTTTCTCTCGCAGGGTTAAACCCAGGAAGGTGGTCACCAAAATTCCGACCCAGGTTCAGCGTTAAACGCAGGTCTCCGTCAGCTGATATCGCTATCTGTTCGAATACAAGCCGCCGCTGCCATGGCAACCACGCCACGCGTCACTCACCGCTGCGTCGCCATGCCAACCGCTGCGTCACCGCCTGTCACCGTACCAGCTTCCGGTTGCCATGGTTACCTCGGTTCACCACAGACGCCGTATGTGTTGCCATGACTACCACCGCTGTAGTATGTGCTCGCCTCATAGTTGACAAACTCGATCTACAATAGTGCGTGTGATCCTCGCTTTAGAAGAACGCTCTTTCAGTTCATTGCTTGGACGATCACAGCACCTTTATTCGTACCAGTGAGTGTGTGTTTCAAATGCGTGACACGCGGCTAGTGCAGTGCTTCTCGCTGGGAAAGCCATCTTGGCTTATCAGCTGCGAGGAAAGTGTATGACGGAGTGTCAGCAAGAATGGTGCAGAGAATCTCTGAAAAGTGCTCCGGTCGGGGCTAAGTGCTGGACCCACTTGTGTGCTGGGTGGTGCGGATGAGAGTTGAAATGGTTTCGAGTGTGCTGGGATTGACAGGAGGGTTTTCTCTAGTGGTCGGTGTTGGCCGTGATGACAGCGATGGCAGTGACAGTGGTGACAGTGGCAGTGGCAGCGATGGCAGCGGCAGATGCGGTGACAATGGTTTAGGTTATTCAAATTGAAAGAGTGGGGAGTTAGAGTGTTAGAGAGTGGACGGCAACGCGATGAAGAGTTGCAATGAAGGTGTTACATGTGTAGTTGAGTGGCTGGGAGTTAAACTAAATGTGAGATAGTGTAAGAGTAAGGTGTTGTGAGAGGCGGAGTGGGTGAAAGAGAGTGAACGAGTTAGTATGTGAGTGATTGCGCGTGTGCTTGTATGCGTGCGTGCGTGCGTGAATGAATGGGTGAATGAGTGAGTGAGTGAGCGAAAGGTTGAGAGAAAGTAGGAGATGGAGAGAGACGCTCCAGTCACTTGCTCTTTGTTCGTCCTTCATTTTGTGCTTACGTGCTCGCCGAACGCGTTTAAACATCTTGAACATGTGTTCTCGCTCTGCTCGCGGGAGACGTGTGGCGATTACGCTGCGGCCCGGGCTATCGGAGCGAGCCCATTGGCGTTGTTGTTTGGTAAGGTCCGAAATATCTGAAGTTATTTTCCCGTTGTGCAGAATTACTTTGCGAGTGATGTCTGTTTTTGTGTTGGCGGTCGTCCGGTAACTTCTTCCTGAATCTGTCAGAGAAAATATTATATTTCCAGTCTTAAGCTGCGTGTTCCGTGAAGTGGAGATGGTTGTAAGGACTCATCCAAGAACAGTGAATTCACGCTAATTAGGGTTTCGGACGAGTCCATTCCGTGACAAAGGGGAAGGTAGCTGGAATGGACTCGTCCAAAAACCGGGTTCTGACGAATTTGAGTGTGGACGAGTCCATTCTAAAGGGAAGGTAGTTTGAATGGACTCGTCCAAAAACCGAGATTTGGCGAAAATTTGGGTTTGGACGAGTCCATTCCGTGACAAAGGGAAGGTAGTTGGAATGGACTCGTCCAAAAACCGAGATTCGACGCAAATTTGGGTTTGGGCGAGTCCATTCCGTGACAAAGGGAAGGTAGTTGGAATGGACTTGTCCAAAATCTGAGATTTGACGCAAATATGGGTTTGGGCGAGTCCATTCCGTAATAAAGGGGAAGTAGTTTGAATAGACTCGTCCAAAAACCGGAATTTGACGCGAATTTGGGTTTGGACGAGTCCATACCGCGATAAAGGGGAAGCAGTTAGACTGGACTCGTCCAAACAGGGACCGGATGGCGTGGCTTTCAGTTTGGGCGAGTCCATTCTTCCGATTTATACTATTTCACTTACTCTGCGTCAATAGTTCGTTTTATAAGTGTGATAATGAAAGTAATGTAACTGCACATACTCTGAGCAACAAGGTCTGTATTTCCGCTCACTAAGTAACAAAATACATCAGGAAAACCTTCCCTGGACAGTCTTACGGGCATTGTACAGTATATCTAAAAAGTATGTCCCCTGGTTTGGCTCTCCCACAGGAGGCGAATCGGTAACTTGGCTGAATCCCAGTTGCGGCATCCGGCCGCCAGGGTCGCTGCCGCGCGAGCGGCCTTGACCGCTCGCATGTCATTGGCAGTTCGGTCCCTCCCCATCTATACCGAGGTGGGGAGGGGAGAAGAGGGGAAGAGAGGGGAGGGAGCGGCATCCGCTCGGCACTTGGCGATACCTGGCTGACCCCGCGCTCCCTCGCTGACCTTTGTCCTGCCCTCAGGCGAAGACCGACTTCCTGGCCTGTAGCGGCCCAGCGGAAGACCGAGCTCGCGGGGCGCGACTCCATTGGCCCAATCTTATAAATGGAATGCTGTCGTATTCACGGCATTAGATAATATTAATAGTGATACCAGCAGTGGATGTGGTAAAATACAGTCCAAAATAAACGAAAGCACTCGATTCGTGCATAATGCGCCCTCCCATTCAAATAAGCCCGCCCACTTCTATAGATGGTGTAGTTTCTTAGGGCGTAAAAGATGCAAAACACTACCGATTTTTTTTTTAGCTCGGCCACTGGGACCGACAATATACAATTGACTGAAATGCATGAAAACCATTTTGCATTTAGGTAATAGCCGTTTTCTGCACCCAAACTTTAGCCAGTGACGCCCTGTCCATTCTAAAGCGTTTATAAGATTGGTCCCAGCACCCGATTTTATATGAGGAAGTCGTTTAAAAAGCATCTTATTTCTAACGAATTTATTATTATGGCCACTTTTACAGGACGGGCGTCTATAGAGCTTTGACTTTTACATTTCTTCCTCGTTGAGGAGAAACGTTTTAACCCTCACCGGACCTTCAGGTTTTCTGAATACCGAGGGACGTTGGGGGTTGGAAGTGAGGAAACAACCCCCTTCGCCGATTCGCCCCTAATTGAGCTAGAGCCTCACGAAAGAAACGATCGTGTGCGTCGTTACGAAATGCAGCGATTGGTCTCCGATTTAAGGACCAGGGACAGCCGATGACTTCGGAGGTCAGGTCAAGTGGCCCAAGGCACAGGTTCGGTTTTTGGTAAATAACTTCGCTAAAAATGATCGCAGATCCGCGATTTTAGCAGCATCGTGTTTGTCTAGCTCAGGCGTGTCGAATGGTATACTTTTTCTTCGGGTGAGATCAACTTACCCTCACCCGTGTAGAGGGGGGTCGAACGGACCCCCCTCCCTCGTTTTTCGCGAATAACTCGCGTAAAAAGCGGCCGATCGCGACGAAACTTTCAATACCCTCGCGTTAATCAATTTTACACCCACCCTGAAATTGTCATGACCCTGACCTTGATGACCTTTGACCTGCGACCTACTTTTCGGACCATGTTTGGCCGGAATCGCGATTCGGCGTATGTCGGCTCGCATTAGCGGCGCGTTTGCAGTCTTTTCGTGGTTTTAAGCGTTCAAACATGGGATATGATGTTGCTTCCATGCATTAGGGTGGGTGTCAAGGTCACCGGAAAGTCAGGTCAGGTCATTGACCTTTGATGACCTCGGTTCACTTTTTCGAGTTTTACATGTTTCTAGGCCAGTTTTAGGAGCTGAGTTCGAATTTAGCAGTCATATGAACATTTACGAAGTAGTTTTGGTGCCCTCGTAACATGTTGCGAAGCTGTCAGAGGCGGTTGCCACCTACTACGAATACCCTTACTGGTTGACCTGACCTGACCTGACTCGACCTGGCCTAAATGCATGAAGACATCATCTGTGATCAAAACTAACATGATATTCGTGATCAGCACCCCGAAAACCCCATAGCAGCCACGCTTTACGACTTTCTAACAGGCCCGATTTTCCCGACTTTTGGGTCATTGACCTGACCTGGAAAGTCAACCGATGACCTAGGACCTTAAAATTGGGTATCATCGACTTCCTCTCGTCACGGCCAACACGCTCGTTTTTTCCGCGAAGCTCTAGCTCGATCAGGGGCGAAACGGCAAGGGAGGGTCCAACGGACCCCCCCCCCCCCCTTATACGTTTGCGGCTGGAAAAACACCAATAAGGGCGAGAGTTAAGGTGTTAACCTCGGGTCAAGGTCAGGTCACAGCCCGTCAGGTCACGAAGCTGGTCAAAGGAGGTCATATTGCATATCAATCGATTCGGCAGGTCTTTTCATGTCCATTAGTGGCTTTATCGACTCGGTAGCTTTAGTTGATCGGGAGTTATTGACGAAAAACTGATACCCTTGGTTACGTGATAAATGACGTCACGCAAGATCAACAAAGCAAAATTAAAGCATCAGACCTTGCAAGGAGCGCATGAAATCACGATTCCGTGTGCTTGAGAATTTGAGATAGTTGTATATCATTTCCGGACCAAACTAGCAATTTCCATATTTCCCTGACTTTTAATGGTGAGAGACTGACCTGATCTCAGGCGACCCTTCAGAAAATCCGAGATATACATTTATACAAGTTGTGAGACTCTCGATCATACTATAAGATCCTGTAAGTTTCATCTCCCTATGAAAGCTCTGCACTGAGGGTGTAGCGAAGTTGAACATTTTAGGAGTGTGCACACAGTCCTAAAATGTTGAGGACAGTTTAGGACAGTTTCACACAGTTCATTTTAGGACTGCTCATTTATGACGTCATAGATCAGTGACCTGACTTGACTTTAAAATGCGGTTGGCGTAAAAAAATCTGACTTATCAAATCCCGACTAAAAAAATCGACTTATAATCCGGTTAATCAAATCCCGACCATGTTTTTACCTGGCCATTAATGTTCTAGCCTTACAGGTGATTGTTTGAACGCGGAAGATGCTGAATCTTGGTTAACCCCATACTTATCGTATGATAAAGAACGTCAGTGTTAGAAAGTTAATTAACAATTTTATTTAGGATAGTTTAATTCAAGTGGGTATAATCCGACTTGACAATTTACTAGGAGGGTTTTGCAGCGCTATTAGTTCGGCATTTAATTATAAATCATTGCTAATTTCGATCCGGATATCGTTATTCAATGCTGGCCTTTGCGTCCTCAGAAAGTTGTTTATAGTCATGAAGGCTTGCATTGACCCATACTTTCCATTTTTCAGCACTATTATTCGCCGTAGTTGACTAGGTGTTTTCTTCAGCTCTCCCCTGAATCCTTTGGCTTAGACCTGGCGTATCACCCGTGCATCGCAAGACGCACCTACCACACACAAGTTCATGATCCCTACGAACCCACATCAGCGTCCGTTCGCTTGGTGTGTGACCCCTTGACCTTTGGCCTCGACAACTGCCAGCTTGCTGGAGCACCCCTCCCTACACGCGCTGCCCCGCCCGCTCCCCTCCCTCCCCCCCCCCCCCGGGGTCGTGTCACGAAGGTTCGGGCTTACGCTACTACCGGCCGCTGCGCAGCTGTCACCTAGCGCCTGGGAATGTGTGGTCTGGTGCGGATTCAGCCAACTACCAGCTCGCGACACCAGCGCCACGTAGTGGCGACGGTACATTCTTTTTAGACACACTGTACAGCTTACAGCACGATGATTTTTGACAAGCTTCGAGACAGCTTCGACTCGACAAAATAGCGAGAGAAAGCTATAACCATAGGAAATCGAACGAGTAAGTGAAAACGCGATACAGTTCCATACAAAAATCCATACCAGTAGCCAATAACAAACGACGTGTGTACAGAGCGAGGGCCAGTAGATGAATGGCCAAAAGCACCGAGGCAAGCGTTCGACAAATTGTCAGTTCCATTACAGCTGTTGGACCAGGCTTTAGAGAAGAGGACAAAGAAAGACGGCTTATTTTGTGAGTTCCTAACATCTACTGCAAATCAGTCTCATATGCCACAACTTTCGTTTTCGCACAAGAATAAACCATTGTAACACCAGCGCACTTCAACGTCCAAGAGACAACACACTGCAGTGGGAAACACCATGAGACACCAAACTGCTGCGCATCTTTTATGCCTCCTCATGTCAGGACTTTAACGATGACCTGACGGGCAAGCTCGTCTTGACTTTAACGAAACTCCCTTCCCCGCGAAACAGAAAATAGCGAAACGTCATAACAATGACATGCCAGGGGAGATGACAGTACATTATGGCAGCTGCATCACAGCAACAGATTTCACGAAAATCCAACTTGAGTTACAAACACTAATAGGCCCTTCCGACGAAACGGTAGAGGGCCCAGAGAGGTCGAGAAGCGGGAATGAAAGTCGGCTTGAAATAGAGCCATCGGCAACCCGCCGGGCTTCGTGACTGACGGTGGCGACAGCGACACCTATACCTGAAAGGTGGCGCCATTTGCAGTATCAACGGTAGCGCCATCTGTGCCAAGCCGAGTTACACAGCGGGCGGCGCAAGCTGCTGGAGGTCGCGCGCCAGCCCCGGTGGCGCCATCTGCAGCGGAGTACGCTCCGCCTTGTTCTGCAGGTCGACCCGCGAGCCGGACTGCACCAGAAGGCGCGCCACCTCCGCCTGCGGACATCGAAAACCGGTAATAGTCAGACCGTACTTTTTACAGACAGTGTTCAAGTCGCGCTCTGAGATGTAGTTGTAGGTATAAAAAAATGTTTAGATATGAGATCCCTGAGTTAAATATCCTCCGCTATAGCTTTATTTACAAAAGCACTCTACCAAACACTAAGGCTCACCTACTTCCCAGCAGGGTTGTGCTTGACTTATGAGTCGAGTCAGAAATTTGACTCAACTCTGACTCAAATGAGTCAGATTTGAGTCGAGTCGGATAAATTGTTGAGCTGTTGAGTTGAGTCAGAGTTGAGTCAGACAAAAATATCAAGGCGTTGAGTTGAGTCAGAGTTGAGTCAGTAAAATAACTTTTAACATTGAGTTGAGTCAAACATTTAGGAACATGAGTCAGCTGACTCAACTTTCCAGAAACAAGCTTTTCATTCCCCACCCACCCCCCACCCCCCGCTTAACAACTTCGCCCTGGCCCTGCTGCCGGACTTTTTCACCTCCCCCCCGCTCAACAGCTTTGTATCTGAGTCAATTTTGAGTCAACTCACTTGACTCAACAATAAAATTGAGTCAAGTTTGAGTCGACTCATATTTTCATTGAGCCGCTTGAGTCATGAGTCGAGTCAAGGGAAAAAAGCAGCTCCTTGTTTGAGTCAGAGTTGAGTCAGGGCTTTCTGAGGTTGAATGATGAGTCGAGTCGGCAATTTTTTTTTTTTTGAGTCGAGCACAACCCTGCTTCCCAGTCTTACTACTGAGTCACTCTCATTCTCATTGTTGTATCTTTTTCTCCTTAGAATCGCGGCTAAGTCACTTCTCAAACACCTGAAGCTATCATCCTAAACTTATGCCCTCCCCCCTCCTCTCCAGTCCGTACCTGTTGATCCTCGCAGGCTAGGTGTAGCGGCGTGTTGCCGGTCCTGTCGGCAGCGTTCACATCCAGCTGGTTGCTGTACTGTAGCAGCAGGTTCACACAGTCCACGTTACCACGTGAGGCGGCCCGGTGAAGTGCAGTGCTACCGTACTTGTCGGCAGAGTTGAGGTCGGCATGGCTGCGGAGCAGTGCGTCCAGAATCTGACGGGGGAGGGTGGGGGTATTAAAGGGGTGTGTGGACGCAGCTGGGGATTAGGAGATATAAGGAATGTAGGAGCGTCGAGGAGGAAAAGAAAATATGAGATAGGGAAGAGGAGGGAGCGAAGGAGGGAGGAGAAAGGGACAAGGAGAGAGAAGACAAAGAGTACATGGAGAGGTGGTCGGCCTGTCCTTGCCAGCGGGCTCGGTCACTCTCAGTCACCCTGTCGAAATGCTTGTTGTCCAGTGCTATTATGACCAATAAGTCTGACCAAAATATGTTATTACGCTATAAGTTATAACAGCTGCAGAGCACTGAAAAATGAAGGTACGGGAGATACTGCAAACAGGCGCCATCTTGGACTAGGCAAGTGTTATCGCTGTCCTTGTCTCCGAACCCACCTCCTTGTGGTTTTTGGACGCGGCGTACATGATGGCCGACTGTCCAGTCTGCGTCACGTGGTTCACATTGGCACCGCGCGCGATCAGCAGGCGGACGATGGCGGCGCGTCCGGCCGAGGCGCCGATCAGCAGTGGCGTCCAGCCCGACTGCGGGGGTAGAAAGAGAGTCAGAGGTTAGTGCCTCGGTACAGGCCAACGGCAGAGGTCAGTGCCCGACTGCGGGGGTAGAAAGAGAGTCAGAGGTTAGTGCCTCGGTACAGGTCATGGGTTACAGGTCAATGGCAGAGGTCAGTCTGAGGTCAGAGCCCGGCAGCAGGGAGAGATGACAGAGGTTAGAGGTTAGCGCCTCGGTACACGTCAATGGCAGAGGTCAGTGCCCAACTGCGGGGGGTAGATGACAGAGGTGAGAGGTTTGTGCCTCGGTACAGGTCACGGGTTACATGGAGTCCGAGGTCAAATATGAGTGATATAGGTTATTGGCAGTGACAGTGACTGTGTGACCCACTTCATTCACAGTCACCACAACACATGATTCACACTTCACACTCGCGCAGTGGAACAAGATCGCAACCACAGCGAGGAAACAAGAACGTCTGTCCAGTTACAGATTCGATATTCGAAATTCAGCCTTCTACTCACCCAATTCCGTTCCGCACTACAACTACCTTCTTCCTTTACCTTCCTTCCAGTTTATCTCCTTAACCCAGCCATTCCAGTCCACCTTCTCTCCCACCTGTCGTACCCCCTATACCATCTGTCCACTCACATCATCCACGGGGTCCACGGGAGATCCATGTTCCAGTAGTAGCTCCACGATGTCACTGTGGCCGCCACTCACAGCCCAGTGGATGGGCAGCCGAGCCGACTGGTCAACAGAGAGCAGAGGGAGCGGTTAGAGGGTTACAGGGGTTACGGGTTAGAGGGAGCGGTTGGAGGGTTACAGGGGTTACAGGTTGGAGGGAGGAGTTGGAGGGTTACATGGGTTAAAGATTAGAGTAGAGGGTTACAGGGGTTATGGGTGTATAGAGTGAAGAGTTGGAGGTTTACAGGGGTTACGGGTTGGAGGGTTACAGGGGTTACGGGTTTATATAGGCAGGGGTTGGATGGTTACAGGGGTTACGGGTTTGTAGAGGGAGGAGTTGGAGGGTTACAGGGGTTACGGGTTAGAGGGAGGAGTTGGAAGGTGACAAGGGTTATGGGTGTATAGAGGGAGGAGTTGGAGGGTTACAGGGGTTACGGGTTTATAGAGGGAGGAATAGAAAGGTTACAGGCGGTAATGCATGATAAATCAATTATAGAAAACTGGAGCAAAATACATGTGTACCTACCTGACTGTTTCTCTGGTAACTGTGAACTCAATAATCAGCATAAAAACATGATTAGTCACTAGCAATGATGCTGCCTTCTGGCCCCTAGAGGTTCATGGGATGGTAATGAATATGTGTAGCTTTGCATGCATCCTCGTCTTCGATGGTTTATTCGTTTCAGATGAACCTGAAGTGGCATTAGAAATAAGCACTCCCAAGCTTCAATCAAAAAATATCAAAACGCACTCAAGTCAGTAGTAGGTAGCAAAACTTCACCAACATCACTGTCCATCCTTTACTGCTGTCTAATTCTGCTTCTACCCAGCTCATCACATAACCACAGTTTAGAGTTCACCAATCAACAGCTGGGCTTACCTCATCCTGTTTGGTGGGATATTTGTTATTTTTCAGAACCAGCTCCTTCACTCTGTCACACTTGCCCTCGTAGGCCAGCTGACAAATGTCCTCCTTGCTCACGTCCATCTGGATTCTGGAACATGAAAGATTATCCCTGAGTGAAAGATAAGGATACCTACCTACCTTTTCCAAGTTGGTTTCATTTGAAAACGACCACCAAAACATGGATTGGCTACAGCCAATTTGTCACTTAAATGCTAGACTTTTTTGCTAAAATCCTTGGGACTTCATCTCTATGGCTCAGTGGAATGGGGATGGGAATGGGTATTTATATACACTGTGGGAATGGGGACCCAGCCAAGTGAGTTAACCAGGGAGCAATGTTTTAGGTCTTGTTCCTTGTGAGCCAGTATGGAAGTCCTGTCAGGTTGGTACCGACTGGTGCAGCTTTGTTACCCTACCTGCCCCTGGTATGATTAACGAAGTAGATGCCTACCAAAGTATAAAGGAAAGAGGCATAGGGAGCAGGCTGCTCATGGGATGCTGCCTCTTCTCAGTAGTACCTATGTCCTAGTACAATCTACATGTTTGGCATATCTGTTTTCAGAGGTATTGGTACTGGTATGTCTTGTCAACCCTGTTGCCATGACTTGCAGACTGAACTGGACCCTGCATCAGTTCTCTGCTCCGCAGAGTGGCTGAGAATGGGCGGATGGAGACTCACAGGTCCCAGTGAGCCAGGTTGGTACAGGCTGGTGCAGATTTGTAACTCTAGCTGGTATATCTTGTCAACCCTGTTGCCATAATTTTCAGACTGGACTGGACACTGCATGGACACTGCATCAGTTCTCTGCTACGCAGGATGGCTGATAATGGACGGATGGAGACTCCCAGGCCCCAGGTTACATCACGCGCAATGTTGCATGGACTTGGACACTCGTCAGCTCTCTCAAAAACCAGGAATAGGTACACAAGCAGAGTAACAAATAATGCATTTAATTAGAAATTAAAATGCAGAACAAATGGTAAATCAGCAGACCATTAGAAAGATCAACATTCTGAACTCTGAAGAAGATGTAAGCCGAATTGTATTAATGTAATTTCCATCGTAATCAAAGATGAAAACGAATAAGCATTTAGTTTTTTCCATTGTAATTCCATTCTTTACTGATGAATTCCCAGTTAATCCAAATGAATCCACTCAAACATACATAAATTGAGGAGATTCAGAATTCATATCAGTTGGGCAAACTAGACTTTTGGAATCAAAATATGGAGGCATCAATAATTTGATTCTGGTGGGAGGAGCCATGACCAAATATGGGCATGGAATCAATTTTTTGATTCATTTGGGTACACTTTTGACTTCAAATGAATCGTTACGGTTGAAAAAAGGCCCATGACGGTGAGATTTTTCTTTAAAAGATAGAAAAATGTGTTAGGTTTGCAAAAAGTGTTACCTCAAAGCTAAGAAATTGTCCCTTTGGCCTTGTGAATGGGAAAAAAGACAGAGCCACTGTCCATCATGTAAAAGCTGTTTTGAGGAAATCACACTGTATGTTATTTTTGTATCATGAATCACATACTAACCAATCAGTATTTGTGTAAAATGGCAAAATGAAATTTTTAAACCCCTAATTATCATTGTTGTAGTGCTTTTATATTATTTATATGGTTTTTACCTGTTGCTTCAGTTTTTGTATTCTTGACATTTAAAAATTGTGAATTGTTATCAAATGTAGTGAAGGTAAGGTACAACAATGCTATAGGTATCAGTTGTGGTGCTGAGGATACCACTAAATGAGAATAATAGCAAGATAAATGCTGTATTCTTGCAAGTCATTGTTGCCTATCTGTTAACATTACCTGTGAATCAAAATAATGATTAGCCAGCTGATGGGGAATCAATATTATGATTATCTGTTTAAAGTGAATCAATTCCTTGATTGCCTTTCACTACCTATAGAATTCAAATTGTTATGATAGTAGCAATATTATTTTGCTTAGGAGATAGTTCAAGCATTTCTGTTCAAGATCAGGCATGCTCCTTCTTGAAACACTCTCTTATTTTTGTGTGATTGGTAAGTTAGAAATGGTATGCATTTATGCCCAAAAGGAATCAATCTTTTGATGCCTCAATATTTTGATTCCAAAGGTCTAGTTTGCCCAACTGATATTGACAAAAGAAAACAAAACTGCATTACAAATTACAATGATTCCTCTTGAATGGCTCTCTTCATTTATTCTTCAAATCAACTAAAAGCCTAACATGGGTTGACTCTAAACCTACCTTTTGAAAATTTCCTGTTGCGATCGCGATGTCTTCCACGCTATCGCGTTAGATTCCCAAGAAAATTCAGAAACACTCCACTCAATTGATTTTGCTCAGTCACTGGACGACAATGCCAGGCTGAAGCAATGTTCGAAAATTAGGCGCCGTCGCCTAGTATGTCTATGTTGCCTAGCAACCTGCGCAGTACTAAAGAGATTCCAGCAGGTTGCTAGGTAATTTCTTTCTATTACTCAGATACAGTTCAAAAACGAACAATAATATTTGTCAAAGTGCGCTGCCGCTGAATACTACAGCAAACTCAAATGAAGACATTCGATGACGGCTAGTAATTTATCATACGATTGAAGGAACAGGAAGTAACAGTACAAAATATGACGAATGAATAAACGTTTTACACGACAGTAAAAAACGAACTTTATGCAAAACGGTCTTTTAATTTCTTTTGAATATTTTTAGAAGTAATGGGAGAGTACTGAAGTGGCTCAAGCTCATTATCACCATCGACCTCGTCTTCCTCCCCTTTTCCACCGCCCAGCACAATTCCCTCCCATTCACCACGACGCCGACAGTACGCACTGTCATTCCAAATCGGCAAACACGACGAATTCAGCGAGGTTAAGCGCTTGTAGTCGAGCCCAAACATATATAGTAGGTACCGTGCAACAGAAAATAAGAATGTCAATATAATTGACGTAATGTCTACCTCAGAAACACCCGATCTCTCATTTCACCCATCACGTGGCCCGCACCAACACAATCTCATAATATCTCCCCACATTTCCTTCCACTCCGTCTACCTTCAGATTCCTTCCCCAGACGCGGTTAACCTCCGAAAACACCGTTCTAAAACCAGCCTTTTGGAGCCTCCGAAACACACCATACACGTGTTTCAGCGCTGTGGGCGTCATTGGCATAGGCAGGTGGACCTCCATGCCGATCTGCAGCACGTCCTGCAGCTCCTCCGCCTCTGCCTCAAGCCACTCCCACTCCCCGCCCTCTATGTCCACCTTCAGGTAGGCGATGAGGGAAGTCAGGTGCCCCAGTTGAGCACGGAGGTCCCGCAGCGTTGCCAGCTTCCAACCACGTGCGTTGACTCGCGTCGAACCACCGAGACCGATGGAATGAAACACCGCACCGTGAGTGTCTTTCGGAGTTCTCGAACCACTCAAACTCGGGTCAAACGTGTGCACTTCACAACCGAGCTGGCGCTTCACATCGCGCTCAAAACTCCACTCGTCTCGACTTCCGAACGAATAGACGAGACAGGGCAGCGCTGGGGGCTCGTCTAAACAGATGAACTTGTTTCCGTCGATGGAGCCCGCAGTGTCCTCGCTGAACGTCTGCCCTCCTAGCATGGTGAGACGGCGACACCAGTGCTGGGGGAGCTCGATAAATGAGAAGAGGGCAGCCGCCATGGCTGCCGGGTCGTCGCTTGGAGGCGGGAGGAGGTGTTCCTCTGTGATGACGGTGAGCTGCGGTGGGGGTGATTCCAGGCGAGGGCAGATGGACTGACGCACCAACCACGTGCTGGGGGAGACGGAGAAACAGGGTTAGGGACCCGTCTTACCTATGTCCTTGACATATTTAACTCAGCCAACAACAGACACAAACGGAGGTAAGCGGAAGTTGCCTAAAAAGGACAGTTGGTGTCTATTCATTTCATAAACCGTTTAAATATAAGACCTTCACTTTCGATTATTATATCTTATATACTCGTATGCCTAACTATATCAAAGCACCTGACCGTTTATAAGCTAAATGTGTGTTACCTGTTCAGTGAACAGGTGAACAGGTGAACAGTGTTCACTGCTCTCCCCCGAGCTACATCCTTATTCCTTACCAACTCCAGAGAGACCAGAGAAGAGCCAGCAGGAGACATCCAACTTTGAAACGGGCCACCATACGATTACGGTCATACGTAAACATTGTTACCAGCGCTGGAGTCAGTTTCCCGTCACCTGTGAAAGACGGCATCAATTCCACCGCTAGTTAGATTGCAAAAGAAGACGTTTGTACACGGGTAGACGGTTCATTCATATAATCACCGATGCCGGTGCGCGAGAAAAATAAGTAGCAAGACCGACCAACACTAGTTTCTGATACCTATTCTAAGCCTTTTAGATCCCAACAAAAGGTCCATTTGAAAAAAGATGGACCTTGACTGATAAAAAGTGACTTTTTAGTCACTTTTTATTGACTGAAAAATATTTAGTCACTTTCTTGACTGAAAAAGTGACTTTTTTCAGGACCTTGACTGAAAAAGTGACTGATAGTCGACCAACCAATGGAATGGTAATTAACTGTTTAAAGGCGGCAATTTCGATCATCAACAGACGCTTTGACCCAAGAGGCGTAAGAACACTGTGGGTGAAAATAGGCAATAGCGATAGCTTAGGAGGCATAAAAACAGGCGATGGCTACAGAAGGCATCAACAGGCTGTAACTCTAAACGGTTAAGTAAGTTTGGTTTTAATTTGCGACCCCCCCCCCCCCAGAGCAATTACCCTCACCAATATACTCCAGCCCACAAACGAAGCACCGTGCTCATTGATTGCAAACCCGCTAACATCACACTTTCACTGAATCAAAGCGACACGACACACTTTTTGCAGCAGTCAGCTCACTCGATACGATACCCAGTCTGGTCTCCACTTTTCTCGCTCCCTCCGAAACACGTTTTCATTTTCACCACACAAATGCAGCCACCTGTGCCCAGCGGTTCCAACGAACCCCACCCGCCGCCATTTCCCTAAACAGTCTCACGCTCCCCCGTGTCAATTCAAATGGGAGCCCCAGCCCCCACTATCTGTCGGTGTCTGTCGTATCGCGCTCTTTGCTGTCAGTTCCTGCACACCTGTACCCACGAGTTTCTTGAACACTGCGCCTGCCGACTGCCGAACAATGACAGTCCACATCTGGCCAGTTTCCGAACGATGACATTGTGCCATCTGGCCAGACAAGACAAGTGCACCTGCTCGATTGCGAATCCGAGTATAGGTTGGCAAATGTGAGCGCGGGGCATGTGAAACTGCAGGGAGCGAGATACAACGCGTAAGTACCACATGTCATGTGTGTGATATGTAGTGTTTACACTGCACAACGCACATACTCCCACGGATTTCTCTATATCAGCATAAAAACACATATTCGGTATAGATATGTATATGATTGTGCATTAAGTTCAGTAGACGTCCGTTCTCCTGACGTACCTATCCATATGTCGCTCGTAAAAAATGTTCATGGGAGATAAAAAAGACAAAAGCTTAATTCATTGAACAGATTTTCTCTGCATGCAAGAACTCAGGGGACCGGAAGTACGATGCTCGAAGAACTCAGGTCGGTAAACGGTATCAGCTATAAGATGTCTTATCATTTCGGTCGATCGGATTACTGGGCTTTTGGCGAACTACTTAGTAGGAACATTCCATGCCTCTACAACGCTAGCTAAAAACGCTTGGCTGCTCGAAAAGTACAAGAGCTCTTATAATATAGATATGTGCGATTTGGTTTCAAATGATGGAGAGAGAGAGAGAGAGAGAGAGAGAGAGAGAGGAGAGAGAGAGAGAGAGAGAGAGAGAGAGGAGAGAGAGAGAGAGAGAGAGAGAGAGAGAGAGAGAGAGAGAGAGAGAGAGAGACAGAGACAGAGACAGAGACAGAGACAGAGACAGAGACAGAGACAGAGACAGAGACAGAGACAGAGACAGAGACAGAGACAGAGACAGAGACAGAGACAGAGACAGAGACAGAGACAGAGACAGAGACAGAGACAGAGACAGAGACAGAGACAGAGACAGAGACAGAGACAGAGACAGAGACAGAGACAGAGACAGAGACAGAGACAGAGAGAGAGAGAGCGGAGGCGCACGACGCCGTTTGAAATAAACTCGTTATTTCCGGGGCGAACAGCGACACTCGTTTGCTAAAAACTAGGGTTCTTATTTGACAGTAGCTTTTCATATTATTAGCAACACATATTATTATATTATCATTCATATCATTAAATACAAACCTAAAGTACAACCGCATGTCTATATATCTACCTTCACCGTGGTTCAGTTATAGTTCTTGCTTCTCCCGCTAGATGGCAGGCGAATCTAGCGCCTGAATGTAGACTGTACCGCACGATATCAACCGCCTCATATTCCTGCCGCTAGATGTCACTAGTGGTTTGCGCCTGCAGTTAGACTGTGCCGCAGGACAGTACGACACTGAACGGGTGATGGGGGACCGGTCGCATGTGCACACAGCTAAACAAGAGTTTGTATAATCAACGTCTAAATGAACAGGGGAATGATAAGCGCTTTATCTTGAGTTATCCCTTACTTCCTCTGCTCCCATGGACGTTCAATGGCAACCGGGATACTGTGCCTCGTTTTAGTTTCTAAAGCGCTTTACTA